CTGGGCATATACCCTGAGAAAACCATAATTCAAAAAGAGTCATGTACCGAAATGTTCATTGCAGCTCTATTTACAATAGCCCGGAGATGGAAACAACCTAAGTGTCCATCATCGGATGAATGGATAAAGAAGATGTGGCACATATATACAATGGAATATTACTCAGCCATAAAAAGAAACGAAATTGAGCTATTTGTAATGAGGTGGATAGACCTAGAGTCTGTCATACAGAGTGAAGTAAGTCAGAAAGAGAAAGACAAATACTGTATGCTAACACATATATATGGAATTTAAGAAAAAAAAATGTCATGAAGAACCTAGGGGTAAGACAGGAATAAAGATACAGACCTACTGGAGAACGGACTTGAGAATATGGGGAGGGGGAAGGGTGAGCTGTGACAGGGTGAGAGAGTGGCCTGGACATATATACACTACCAAACGTAAAATAGATAGCTAGTGGGAAGCAGCCGCATAGCACAGGGAGATCAGCTCGGTGCTTTGTGACCACCTAGAGGGGTGAGATAGGGAGGGTGGGAGGGAGGGAGACGCAAGAGGGAAGAGATATGGGAACATATGTATATGTATAACTGATTCACTTTGTTATAAAGCAGAAACTGGCACACCATTGTAAAGTAATTATACTCCAATAAAGATGTAAAAAAAAAAAAGACAGGCTCAAGGATGTATTTTACTACATGGTGAATATAACCAATATTTTGTAATAACTGTAAATGGAAAGTAACATTTAAAAATTGTATAAAAATAGGGAATTCCCTGGTGGTCCAATGGTTAGGACTTGGTGTTTTCACTGTCAGGGCCCAGGTTCAATCCCTGGTCAGGGAACTAAGATTCTGCAAGCCATGCAGCTCAGCCAAAAAAAAAAATTGTATAAAAATTTAAAAAATTTTAAAAAAAATTAGCAAGGTTTTTTACCGTGTGATTAACTGTGGAGAAAAATTTTAAGTCAAGTGAAAGGAGGTTTTAGGGAATCCTCTGAAGCCTCCCCCACACCCTCAGGCCCTAGGTGAGCTGACACTCTGTCAGCTCTGTGTGTGCTGTGTTCATCTGTGGGAAAATCACATTTGGCTTCCAGAATATACTTTCTTTGGGGGCCCATCGGTCATGCAAAGTCTCTCAGGATGCACCACACGTTGCTAGGATCTCAGTGACACGTCCACCCTACCTCCTTCTGGGGTACTGAAGACCCTGTCGGGGCTGGCTGGGCCCTCCCCTTTCCCATTGACCACGCGGACATTCAGTGTGTAGTGGCTAAAGGGCTCCAGCCCAGGCAACATGCCATGAGTCTTGCTGCCCTGGAAAGTGAGGATCTTTTTCTCAATATGGCGTCTGTTTCTGGCTGATGAACTCTGTGCCTTCCAGTAGTAAATCTGAAACAGCAAGAGTAAAAGTCAGGGATGGACAAGGGAGCCAACAGAATCCTCATGCTCACAAAATTAAAGCTTTATTATTATTATTTTTTCCCTGAAAGTTCCCTTGGTACATTTTAGACTAGTTGAACAACTGACAGATATCAATTCTGAGGCAAGTGAGTAGAAGGCATAGGTAATGTGGGAAATTAAGAAATTGTGATGAAGCTCGGTTATGCTATGTTGTTGGAGAAGTCTAAGTGAAATAAACCAAAGAAATGAAACAGCATGAGACCCATACAGAAGGATTTAAGTGTTCTTTACTTGTATAAAATATTCTAATGGTAAAAATTACTGCCCAATATTTACATACTTTTCCAGAGTTAATACAACTTCATGTACAATATATCATTTAGTTTAATACTAAAAACCTCAGTGAAGCTTTAATTATTACTATTCCTACAGTACAGAAGAGCCCCTGGGCTATCAAGAGGTAAGAAGCCCCTCCACTTCAAGTCTAGGGCTTTCTCACTATGCCAAACTGCATCACTTAATTAAAAATACTTATTTTTTGGTATGAAATTGTGGACACAGATTTTGAAGAGATAAAGTGTTGATTAACTTTGGATAGAAATCCAGAACTATTGTTTACTAAGTCCTCTTAAAGTCATCTTAGGAGTTTAAAGGCACCTTCAAGAGAAATCAACATATATACAGAATCTGGCAATCTTAGAGGAAGAAAAACCAAAAACCCCAAGTTGAACATGATGCAGTGCAAAATCCGACCTCTAGAGGTCAGGGTTTGACCAATCAGAGCCTTGACTGCCTTGGTAGGTGTGAAAGTTCTCTGACCACCTCTCAATCAAAACTATGAATTGGTCTTTCTGTGCTTCCCAAGAACACAGATAACTGATGTTTATAAGAATGACTGAGTTGGAACTCTATGATCTTGAACTATAAACTATTTAAAACAAAAGTCTACATTGTTTTCTGGATAGTTTTGTTTGCTCAACACATAGTTTTGTTCGTTTAAAACCACAGTCAGTGTGGTTTTAAAGCTAGGTGCATTACATTACATCCTAGTTTTTTGAACATTAGTTTTCCCCATTTCGTGCATGCGGTAACTGTTGAGTTGGCAGAATGCAGACTATCTGTGGGAAAAATGGAGAAAGAATTTTTTTCTCCCTTTGTGTGCAGTGAGATTTCGATCTAGCTCTAGCTGGGATGCTTCAGAGGTAGGCTTCCTGAGGCAGTACACCTGATGAACTCTCAAGGCCTCCTCCGGTCAAGCAAAGGGTGTCTGGCATTGGCCAACGGACTGTTTCTGAGAAAAGAACACAAAAGGTCTCTTTCACTTGCCCGATAGCCCTGCAGGTGTCCTCGGATACTTTTCAGAGGTACCGGGTCCCAGTGCACCTCGGCTAAGGTGCTGTTTACCACGTTTACATGCACATTCCCGGGAGCCACCATTGGGACTAGGGAA